TTAATCTGCTAAATTTGAAACCATTGTGATAACTGATATGATATTTACATCTTAGTCAGTAACGAGAACATATCTTAAAATCTTTGGCACAGCTGATCACCTTTTTCTTGATTTTTCCCGACATGGTTAGGGCTATTGAAAATCTAATCATACCATTGGATAGAGCTCGTCGAGTTGTACTTGAAACAAGAGTAGACGCTTTGGAACAGGTTCGTAGACGAATATGGGCAACTTTTACTGTATGAGTTCTAGTATTCATGTAGGAAAATAAAAGTATTTTGGGATTTTTCCGGACATGGTGAATGCATCATTTCACCGGTGTCTGGCGCCATCTGTATGATACACGGATTGATGTATCTAGAAGTGCATCGAGCGATGCATCTGGGTAACCCGATACTCCAGCAGTTGCATCTAGCTAAATGAGTAAAAAAATCGGCCGATGCACCAGCAAAGGCATCTAGATATTTCTGCTAGAGGGGTTTTGCTTGGGTATAGGCCAAAAGCATTACCCTTTTCAAAGTTAGTAGTGAATAAGGAAATCATTACCGATTCCCAGCAAATAACAGAAGAACTGCATAAGTACTATGAGAACCAGTTCAAGCCACCAACCCTGAATCCAACGAATCCACATGATATTGTAATAGAAAACGAGTATTTAGAAATCATTGATAAATTAACTATAAATTGTAACCCAATTTTACCAACTAGTATAAATGAAATAAGTAAACGCATGAAAAAGATAAAACCATAACCTAGAACAGAAAATTCCCTCGAATAAGCGAAGCAAAAAACAGATTAAAAGACTCACGTAATAAAGGTTGACTTTTTCAGAGTGTTTGCAACTTTTTTACGGAATGTGGTGGAAAAAAACTTTTTTAAGCTAATTGTGGTGGTATTTGTTGAATTTGATTTATTTTTCCATTATTCATTGAATAGACTTGAGTTGGTGCTAAAAGATTATATTGGGTTTAAATGAGATGAACATGATATGTCTATTTTATATATTTATTAATAGACCGAGGAATCGATTCACCATTATCACAATTATCGTCGTAGAGATGCAACTGATTCAAGCCACTTATATATTGTAAAAATGCTTTAACTGAACAACCACGAATTCTTCAATCACCATTACTTTGGAAATAAATAATCGTTCGTTGTTCCATTGTTTCTAATTGATTTAAATTAAGTTTTGTTTCAACACCTTTAATCATTCATAACCAATCAATTTTGTTTTTTTATTTCAATATCAAGTTTTAAAGTGGATGTTCTTATGTGTTCAATTTGTCATTTTAGTTTTTTTTAATTATGGTTTTCACTGACGTAAATCTTGTTCATTATAGTCATCGTTATTTCCACTTTGACTAATTTCACCTGATTATATCATGCAAGTCTTCTTTCATTTTCTCGATTATGTCATTTAAACTCTGTTCAACGATTTAGCGTGCTTCTATGGCTACTAGTATTATTTTTTGTTTTGTCTCTTGGTCCCATTAGACATGCAACGGTAACGATTATCGGTCCTTCCCGGTTATCGTCTAACGATTATCGGCCAAATTTTATAAAAGAACTACTGTAAGACTCGATAATCGAGTCCTTTAGAACGTTCCGCTGTGGAAATGTTGAACTGTTTTTACATCTGTAAGTAGACCGAAATCTTGTGAGTCTTACAGCAGTTCCTGTATAAAATTTGGATTAAAACTGACTGAGTTATGAAGAACAAATTGAACTAGAGTCATACATATATACACCTGCATATGCAAGTTCTCTGATATATGGAAGAAAAGACAAAAAAAGATGATGAGTTTATCCTTGCTACAAACTCACTTTCTCTATTTTGATTTTGCTCAGCAAGCATCAGAAACGTATCGGTAAGAAGCGATAATCGGTAAGGTACGATAAAACCGATAGCGATAAACCGATAAGTTATCGTTACCGTTGTATGCCTAGTTCCCATTGATCGATTTTCTTAATAAGATTTGGTTGTTGTTTGTTGCAATAACAATGATAAGCAAATATACAGGGTTAAAATGAGTTTGAACAATGGATGAGAAATTCGCCTGTGAAACGTTAAAATAATATAACAAGAAGAAAATCAACAGTTAAAATGTGATGTACTTTATAATGTAATGTAGGTTAAATCTCTAATACACAGGGTCATTCATACTCGATTACGTCAGAACTATGATTAATACTTATATAAAAAGATGTAAAAATTAATCTGAGTTTTCAGCATAAAATTTGAAGTGCGTATGATAAAGTTTTGATATTTCAAAACTGAAATGAATAATAGCTGAAGAAAAAAGGGAAGAAAAGGGTAATAAAGATGACAATAATATGCTTTTTTATACACACATAATTGATTGTGCTGTTTTCAATAATTTTCTTATGTCAAATATTCTTTACTGAAAAGAAAAAATATATCGCAACTATGCAAAATTGTAGCCCATTCTGACAGTTTTCGTAAACATATTAGCAGATATGTCGGGCAAACATATCCCTAAATCTTTTATCTATTTTTCTTAAAGGTATCCATCCCCTATTTTGAAAATATTTTTAATGTTTAGCTAAACATATTCTAACGTAGAGGATAGCCTGGATTACAAAATCGGACCACTTCTATCATTCCATGGCCTTCCTTCAAGCAGTTATGATCTTTTAAGGTTTTTCTTCGACACCTGGAAGAAGTCAATTTTTAAGGGGTATCCATTTTTTTGATCACCATAAAAAGATACTTTTGATTAGGAGAATAACGCGATACATTTCTGGTAAGCTCTTACGCAAGTAGGTCTATGTATACAGCGGCTCTAGATCCGTTCGAGGGCACTTTTTGGCTGGTAGTATCGGCTTCGTTTGCTAACGTTGAACTTATACGAAAAGTTCAACATGGGATGGTAATAAGCGAGTAAGGAGCTAAATAGTAATATGTGTTTTAACCCTTTAATTAATATTGAACTAAATCTACTCCTTTTTGAATTAATTTTCAAAGTTTAAATTTTTTAGACGGATAGAAAAAATATAATCTAACAGACAAATAAGTAGTGGCAAGAAAAGTCGTGTAAAAAAAAGTTTTAATTTCAAGTTTCACAACTTATTATTTCTTAAAGATTTTTCTATTCGAACAAGTAGTGTAGATTACTCAATGTTTTAAATACTTGATCTATTCTTTTAGACTATAAGAATCGAAACAAATCGGTAAGTTTTCTTGTTCTATCTTGAATAGCATCTCATATTTTGTACTTATATACCAATAGTCTTTCATGTACAATTGTATACAAAGAGATAAAGTAATAAGAAATTATCCAAATGAAAAAAATTTAAGTTTAAAAACAACAAGTGAATGAATGCATAATAATAATAATCGTGTAGAATTTTCTTTTCTCTATCATGGATGAACATTTGATTTACTAAAGCGTAAATCGAGGTATATTCATTCTTACAAACAGTTAAAAATATGGTCTTTTTACCCTATAATCATACGCTCGATTAACTTTATGTTTGAAAACAAAAACTATTCCAAAATCAAGAGAGAACAAGAGACTTTTAGTTTTTGAGAATAAAAAATAAGGAATGTTTTTTTAATCTATGATTTTAAATAATACAAATTTTTACATGTTAAGATTTGAACAATTCCTTTGACAGAAAAAAGTAACTAGATGTTATATAAATAATTTACCTGAAAATATAAATAATAATAACATGTAAGAATCATCCGCATTGTATTCAGGAAGAAAGAAAAAGAAGAAAAGCTACGTCATAGATAGAAACAGAATATAAAACTAGAAGCCAACTGTCCTACAGACAGATTGGAAAATCAACCGAGTGAAACATTTCTTAGAAACACTTAAAATACCGTTTGAATACATAAGTAACATCGTATAATGTGTGATGTCGCTTACTAAAGAGATATATGACCAATTACTCACTATAAACAATACATCATCGATATAGTATGAGGCAGTGCTTTACAAAAACGCACTTTTTCAGCATAGAATACTCAATGAACTTTCACAAATTTTTCTCAAATTTTCAGAGCAGATAGAGAAATGTGTGCTGAACACTTTTCTCTCTTGATATTTATTTCCAAAGTACTTTCCCTCGACGCTAGAGCGCTTGCAAAAAAAGTCGTAAAATATGGAAAAAAAGAGATTTTCAGTCGAAAATTTTGCTTACTCTATAATCCCGTCAAATCAAATGCTAATGAGCTTAAATTTTACCAGAGCTGTCTTGGTATGAGTAGTATCCATGATAAGAATTTGAACTTGTATGAGTGAAGCGTTCTAGAGAAATACTTTATTCTTTAGACAGAGACAAAACGTCATCGACCGTTTTACAAAGAGGCTTTTGCAACCGACGATGGTCCGTTTGAAGGCTCTCTACGGTTTCGTGAAGTAGACCCGGAGTACCACCATGAACCGTCGTCGAATGTTTAGGGAAATGATGTAAACACTCGGAAACCTCTTGTCAAAAACGGTCAGCCCACCTCGGAAAAACCTGAAAATTTTTCTTTTAAAACCAACTGAATTATACGCAAGGGGGAAACAACTGACTCCAGACTCTACTGCATCAATTGACTCCACTTGACTCTACATGACTCCAAAATGTAATAGAATTGTTCAGTTACATGTAGGAATATAACAATTCGTATCTGTTTTTAAGAAGTGGTCGAATCATAGAATCAATCAATTCGTCCATTGCTCATTATTACTCAAAAATACTCATTGATGAGTACTTATGGTTCCCAAAACGGAACATTTTTGTTCTGTTACGGGGATTAAATTCCCACAACAGAATACAGTTGTCCTGTCATTGGGACTAGATTCCACAACAGAACGCAATTTCTCTGTTATTAGGAACCATAAACATTGGCATCATGCTAATACTAATTCAATGCTAATGCTAAGCCAAAACCCTTAAACATGAGTAGTTATGAGTAATCGCTTCATTATTTGCCAGCAGTGTGACAGTTCCGGGCCTAGAGAACCTTTCACGAGTTCTCTAGAATTGGAACTGTAACAGTCCTAGTGGTTACACAAGGGGTAAATAGCAGACTCCATCTACCTCTTGTCAAAAACGGTCAAGGGTCCTTCCGACCCTTTCCTTCGTCCGTGGCGTTTGTTGTATGTTTTTCGAAAAACCTTCGAAAATCCGAACTTTTTGGGTGTAACCGGTACACAAACTTCATACCGGTCGTGCCGGCTTGTCTTGATCGTTTTTTGCCTAAATACAAACACTTTTTCCTTGTTTATAGAAATATGTCATAGATGAATTGAATTTACACAATATTTTTCGCCAAATCGTATCATATCGCAAAATACCAGTAATGTCGACCGATTGATTATACTTGATATTAATACCGGTATACCGATCGGCCTTATAATTCATACCAGTACCGGTTGCACCTCTGTTCTAAAGCTGGAAGATGTTTCATTTTAATCAGAGATTTACGGGCTACAATCCTAATTCATTAAGAAAAGGTTTTGGTTATTTTTTAGAGTTTCCGAAAAACTGATTTTCCAGAAAACCGCTCTCTGAAAACCTAAGGGTAGCTGACATGATGATATTCGGAATCAGGGTAGTCAATAATATATGACCCACTTGACAAAAATCAAAAAACGTTTTTTGTCGACGAATTTTGAGGTACCATGGGTTTTACCAGACGAGGTCTGCGAGGAAGACTTCGTCGGAAAAATTTACTTTCTACATGGATAAACGTACTACGAGCTGCTCTTTCCAACGGTGAGAACCGCAGATCTCTAGATCGTTTCGTTCCGGAGCTTTAAAAGTTTTGTTCACTCATGTTATTTTCAGAAATATATAATACTTCTGTGTATTTAAATGTGAAAAATGAGACAGTTTTCTCTTTCGTTTCGATTTCTGTTATCTTCTTTTTCATAAAAACGTAAACTCTCTCATATTTCACAATAAAATGCACAGAAATACTCAAAAATGGCGCTTTTTTCCGGCATTGTTAGTATATACCGAGGAAAGACCTATATTAATTTACACGAAATGTGATAATTAATTATTTCGAACTTTGTTCAATATAATACGTATGAAACTTGAACAAGTGTACCATTTCAACTTCGGCATTAGAGAAAAAATAAATAATATTTTCTATTTTTACTGTCAAGAGCATAAATCAAGCTTGGTTTGACAACGGATAGATCTAAGTTTCTCGATCGTTTCAGAAAAAATTTAAAATAGTGGTTGGCTTTTAGACGAATAAATATAGATTTGTCAAGAAACAATATTAACAATCTTATTAGAATCTCATAATAGTTATGTTAGCTACACAACGAAAACGTATAATGACACCATTAGATATTGAAAGTGCACAAGATGTCATGATTTTGAATAAAAATGAAGATATAACGATAATATGGCATGATGATAATTTAGAAGTTGAAATACGCGAACAGATCGAATGTTTACATGGTAATATTGTACTCTGTTCAACAATCGACCAATTATCTTCATCTGTAGAGAAAATTCAAAATCATAAAATTATTCTGATTGTTCAGGGACAATATTCACGTCAGATATTACCATTATTTCACAAAAATCAATAATTGATTCGTTTTATATATTTTGTATTTATAAAGAATTATATCAAGATTTGTTAGGTGATAAACGTTATTCAAAATTATGCGGTATTTATGATGAATATGGACAACTATTTGATCAATTAAGAAAGCACATACATTCAATAATAAAACATTTATCAATATTCAAATTATTTAATCAAACAGGTAAACCTATACGTGATTTAGAACAAGAAATACCAGAATATTTATATTATCAATTATTACGTGATAAACTAATGTTAGTTTCAACAGAAACAAATAAAGCAAAACAAGATATGATTAATTATTGTTGTTGGTATTATCATGGTGATAAAATCATTCTGAACCGAATCGATGAGTTTGAAAAAACATATCAATCAACAGATGCTATTCAGTGGTATACAAAAGATAGCTTTCTATTTAGATTCGTTAATAAAGCATTAAGAACAGAAGATCTTGATACATTGCATTATTTAAGATATTTTATTATTGATTTATGCAAACAATTAAAATGGTTATTTGATAAAAATCGAAAATCGTATCAAGAGCGTCATATTGATACAATTACTGTATGGGTGATTCTTTCGAGAGCGTACTAGGCTTTACACCGACTTTATCCGGATTGTTCGAGAGTAACAGGACTAGTACAACTTGAGCTCC